GCAGCTTCTTATTCCTCCAGTAATTCTTCAGTAAAAACAGACATTACTTTTTGAATCAATCGCAGTGCTAGACAAGATTTTAATCCTAAAGAAGGTACATCTTTGTCAATAACATGGAATTCTACAACATAACTATAGTATCCATTTTATTCCCAGAGAATGTAACTTAATCTTTTAAGTTCAGACTTCTGTATCGGAACATCTAGCACTTTCACTTTGCTTTTAGAAATACCATTGCATATTGTTCCGATGTCTAATTGCAAATTAATTATTTACATTAATGTCAATAGTCAATTTCTCTTTTTTGTTATCTGAACTAAGGTTTACTGTACCTGCATAAAATTCTAACTCTTCCTCAGTGTCATGATTAAGTAATTTGTTTCTCTCCCCGCCCTTTTTTTTTTGTTGTTTTGTTTGTTTGTTTGCCTTGATCGCATAATTTTTATTTTATATCTTTTACATTGATTCACAAAATGATTTGCCTTTTTACACTTATTGCAGGTTTCTGCATATGCTGAATGCTAAATTCATAAGATGTTCCACAGTTAAACCCAACTTTGGTTGCTTGTTTCTGAATATTTACATTTACCTCTTTATATATATTTTATTGTGGTTCCTTAGTTTCTCTTTCACAGTAGTTTCTTCATCTTGTATTATTTTCATTTGATGTGCATGTATTTCTGCAGATCTGCATATATCAAGAGCTTTTTCTAATGTAAATCATGTTTCATGCACTTGCTCTCGCTACACCATCTTTCGTACCACAAATAATTTTATCCTTTATGAAACTATCTATTTATTGTGCCGGCTTGGTGTTCTAGTTTTATTTCGAAAGTCAGTTACATACTTTTCCATGATTTCCAATGCAGTTTGATTTCTAGTAAAGAATAAATGACTTTTATATGTAATATTTGTATTAAGTATACCGTAAATTTTGCCTTAGTTTCATTTAATTTTATTTTCTTATCATCTTTACAGAAAATGTATTATATATTTCAAGACTGAGAATTCCTATTACATGAAGAAAAGTATTAACTCTCACCTTCTCTTCTTATTATGTAATCCACTGGCTACTTCATAAATTTTAAAAATAGCAACCATCTTTGTCAGTTTGAAGCAAAATTTCCATGAATTTGAATCAGCTCTAATGGTTTTAAACTTTCTGTTTTGAAAGCAAAACACTTCTGAGACCATTAAAATAGGTACCTTCCAATATAAAATAAAGAGGGTGCACTTTTAACAGAACACTGCAATACTAACATGAGTCTATTTTACATGTTTCCAAACTGTTGCCATTCACAACAGGGTTGCCACGCTACCTGGAAAACCGGAAAAAGTCAGGGAATTCGGAAATTGACCAAAAAATTCAGGGAAAAGTCAGGGAATTTTAAGTGTTTTAGTCAAAATCTGGAAAAGTCAGGGAATTTCATACAACGATCCCGCCAAAAAAGGCGAGTTTTGCGCCGACGTTGGAAGAGATCACTTTTTTGGTGAATTGTGTATCACGTGAGTGTCATTCTGGCAGCTGGCGTAGAGCCAATTTTCGCAGCTCCCAATTTGATGTCTTTTTAGAAAGGCAATCAAGTTTCCCGCAACTTTTAGTTTCCAGTAACCTCGAGAATCGCATGTGCAGTGCATGAACTAAAGAAAGTACCTGTTCTCGTATAAATCAAAATGGGTTTAATCCTAGTATATGGTACCATGAAGGTTAGAATAAAAAAATATGTATTGTAAAGAAAGAAAACCTCTCTGCAACAGACATGGCTCCGTTCCATCATTGAGGGAAACAGCTGTGCATGCGCGATATATCTGTCGCTCGAAACCGGTGTCAGAGTTCGAAGGTCACATTATCAAGAGTTCATAAAATGAATATCGTTTAAAATTTCTTTAAACTCTAAAGGAAAAGAAAATATTTTTTGGCGCAAGTAAATTAATTCATGGATTAGTTATTTTGAGGGGGGGAAAACTACGAAAATCCGTTTTTAAAATTATTGCGAAAAATCCAAGAAAAAAACGTTCTTTGATAAAGCGTTTCTTCTTGGATTTTTTGCAATAATTTAAAAACGGATTTTCGTAGTTTTCTTTTTTGTCAAAGAACGTTTCTTCTTAACACGTGTTTCTCAATTTCCTGTACACATCGCGGAGAGGGAAATTCTGGCCGCCAGGTTCCGTCGCCAAATCCCTTGGCAAATTTTCCCTCCGCTTTCTAGCTGCGTAATAGCATTTATGTGTATGGAACCTTTTCTTCTTTACATAGACATTCTTTGGTTAGAATAATCTCCATGTATTGTACAGCGGGATTTGGCGACATGATGGTGAGCAGTAAACGAGTCATTTTGTTCTTGGCGACAATTTTCAAAATCGTTCGAAGGCCGTACCGTATACTAGGATTTTACCGCAAAATCTTTTTTTTTTCTTTTCTTTTTAATAAATAACTTGTCATTTTGCAGTAAAATTAAAAAAATTGTAATCAGTCGTCTAGGCTAACCATGTAATATAACTATATTCGCTAAAATATCGTTGATTTATTCTAATTCAATTTTTAAGTAATTATCTTAATTTTTATGTTATTCATATCATTTAATGTTGCTTCTTCCCTCTAAATTTATTTATCATTAGTAAATAATATTTCCAAATTTTAGGAAATTTTCTCTGGCATAATCCTGAAATTAATTCTAGCAGTATGATAACATCACGAAATTTAATGCACATATTTTTTCCTTATGTATGCTGCAAAATAAATATAAAATACCTCAATTTAGTAAAAAAAATCATTAAATAGATTTCTTTCTCTTTCATTTAGCTGCAGAATGTCTGCAAAAAAAAGCCTTATTTTATTCCAGATTGGGGAGATTCTAATCTCAATCTTCAGTGGAGAAAACAACTCCTATTATAATTGTATTTGTGTTTTCAAGTGTTAAGGTGCCTTTTAAGAAGACACCTCACACAAATTAAATTAACCTAAAATCTAACGTAACTTTTAGCATTGCGTTGTGATTTATGAGAACCGAATTAGCCTCATGTTGAACTGATGATGATCATGAGTAATAATTAAATAAAATGTACAATTGTTATCCAACGTATGTATCGTAAATTTTATTAAGTTTCTTAAGTGGAAAAGTAAACAAAATTATCAAACAAAGTGTACCAAGAACAAATGTCCTCTGGGATTTATTGAATAATTAAGTAAATTTGCTACACAGTACAAGTAATACCATAATTAATTTACCTCTTAGCACAGCTAACGTACATTATGCTGATAGACTGGAATTTTCTCGAAACATACCTGGAAAAGTCGGGGAATTTCATTCTCCTGCTTGAGTGGCAACCCTGTCACAAGTAGTGAACAAGGGTTGTCTGTTGACTGCAATGGTAGTGAACAAGGGTTGTCAACAGTTGCTGTACAGAAACATGTTCTTTTATCATACTGTCCAATATTCAGCTTCAGGACTTCAGAAATTTATTCTTTCACTGTAATCTTTCTTCGTTTGATAATGTTTATCTGAATGGTTCTCTTTTCTTGTGTTATTTTAATATCAGGTTTTAATGAAAGTTTTCTGCAACCGCAAATATCGTCTGTTTACGTTGGCGTGTTTAATCATATTTTGTCAAATGATTTTTGCCATCTGAAAGAAAGAGACTTGCTTTAGAACACTAGGTTGGGAAATTTGTAAAAAAATATGGTTATCATTAAGTACAAGGTGTTTGAAATGGAACTATAATGCTACCAGATTAGAACCATCATTTACTTTCCATTCTGTTGCAAAAAGTCAGCTACAATATGTCACCAAATCATATGTGCTGCTTTAGGTACTAATATTGTATGATATGATACTGTGAATGTTTGGTATTGAAAGATAAAAAACAAGGAGTATGACATTCAAGAAGCAGAGTGCTCTGGCTGACTTACTGATGTTGATGAGGCTCGATTGCGAGAACTGGTGGATGAAGATCAGAATGCAACCACTTGAGAGCTTCTTAAGAAGTTAGACATTAGTGCCATGTCCATTAGTCACACTATCCATCGCATAAGTTTGATGTACAAGTTCAGTTTCTGGGTGGCGCATGAGCTGACTCAAGCAGATACGGACAGACATGTTCAGGTCTACACTAATCTGCTTGAATATCAAAGCAAAATTCTGCATCAGATCGTAACTTGTGATGAAAAGTTGATTTACTTCAATAACACAGGCCGAAAGGGGGCTGATCTGTGCCCAGTGAGCCTGATTGTGGCAAAAAGAACTTGCTTTGTATCTGGTGGGATTGCTGTGGTATTATTCACAAAGAGTATCTGGAAAAAGGTAAAACCCTCGACTGTAAGGTGTACAGCAAGATGCTAATCCGTGTTGATGGCTGCTATTGAAGAAACACCTCGAACTGAGTTCCAGTGAAAAAAGGTAATGTTCGATCAAGATAATGAAAGACGTCTCTGCATTCACCACTTGAACTCTGCATGGACTCGAATCGGAATAGCATTGAAAATAAAATTGGCTATCTTCATTTGTTGGCTGTTATTATGAATAACTGACTTGTTTTACATACTAAATTTCTTGCATATGATTTAAAAAATAGTTAGAATCAAAAATTTCTTCAACAGTACAATTTTAATACTGCCTTTATAAAACTGCCATATTATGTTTATTCTGAAGTGATTTCCCCCTTTTTTTGTTGTTGTTTTTGTTTTGTTATTTCCATTTCCTGGTATGGCAGGCAGGCATATTGTGTAATTCTTCTAAAGTTTAACCTTAGTGACATTATTTTTCAACTTGCTAAATGTATTACACCTCCTTTGTAGGTATTTCTTCTTGCTGATAGGCACACAGTTAGATCCAGCTATAAAATAGTTTTATTAGTAGGATGATGTTAAAGTCTTAAAAATATTGGAAAGTTATACTATTTTAAATACTTATTTCCTTTCATAAAATATGTTCAGAAAGTGTTGTTTTTAAATCTTTTATTTTTCTTATTAAATTTTGGGAAAAATTTTTGTATTTGTATAGGATGTATATTTAGATAACTTAAACAGTGAAGAAATGTACATGAGTCTTCCTGATAAATTGAAAGTCCCGTCTAGCATAGTGACAACCACTTGTAAAGCAAATAACACTCAGGTAAAATGTTTTAAAATAAATATTTTCTTCTCCATTCAGTTAGATACTTTTTAATACATTAATTTTTTAAATACTGTTGCTTCTGTTTATATTAATTTTTACATTAAAGATTTTCTATTACATTTACTTGTACTGTGCAGTTTTTTCTATTAGACTATTTGTTTGAAAATGAAGTATAAAATTTTGTGTCAGAATATCTGGTCATTTGAATGCTATGCTTCAGCAAATATTTAGAATAAAATACTATAAACTGCATGAAAATCTGCTTTTAGTCATTAAACAAAATACCTTTAGGACTTTCATATATGATTTCTAAAATAATTTTGATATATTGAATTCAAAAAATTATGAATGCCAGGCTTTTCCTTTTAATAATTGTAGTGACTTTTAAAATATAATTATTCTGAGTTCTACTGAATACTTCTTGAACTTGTTCTTTTTAGACTGCAGCTTAATTGTGATCACGTTTGTCCATGGCTGTTTTGATAACATTAAATGATGAAAAAATTCTTCAGGTCAGCAATAGAATTTAACTAATTTAATATAAGTAGAAATATACAAAATATACATCACAGCATTTAAACTAAGAAAATTGTCGTTACTATTGGATTATCTGCAAGATTATGCAAAAATTCATTTATGAATTCTAATGTTTGTGGAAATTATTTTACCAATGTTGTGGTTCTAATCTTATTACTTGGAGGTCAGTCCTGATATCAGCATTTATTGGGAAATCACTAAATTCATTGGTGCGTTTTTCAGAAAGTTTATTTGCATGATGTGCTTGGATTTGTTTCATAAAGTCACTGTCATCGTCATCTGTCTGAAGAACAGAGACCTGTGTCTGATCACTCTCAAAATCTGCATAAAACTAAACAGAATGTTGATTTTTTGGCCTAATTTTGAATCGTTGATTAAAATAAAAAGCAATGAGTTTATTGACTTATCCTTTATTATGGGGCATTTCAGTCATTTGCAATTTTTTTAATTTATTGTGATCTTATTTGAAGAATTTACTTTCGTTTGAAGAATTCATTCTAAAATATTTTGGTAGTTGATCACAGTAAGTAGGCTTACCATAATATTTTTCATTCAAATTGGAACAATTTTGAAAAAATACTCATAATAGAAAATAAAACCTACTAGGTTTAAGTACCTATGATTGAAGAGGCTAAATAAAAAAGTTTTGAGCTAAAAACAATAATGAATTAAATGAAATTTTTATTAGCATACTTTATTATTAACACATTAAAGGCGGGAGTCGTAGTACTACGATTTATCTCGACTGTAGCTTAAAGGCGAGAGTCATAGTACTACGATTTATCTCGACTGTAGCTTAAAGGCAGGAGTTGTAGTACTATGATTTATCCGCTTAAAGGCGGGAGTCGTAGTAATATGATTTATCTCAAATGTAGCTTAAAGGCAGGAGTCGTATTAGTACGGTTTGCAACCACATTGCACAATCCATGCACCACTTTACATTTGTATTTAGTATGTTTTGTGGTTTGAAGCTGTTCGGTTGTTCAAATTCTACTTACAGTAAATTTTGAAATCCTTCAATATGGTTTCACATGAAAATAAAGATATATATGCAGACGATTTGATGGACATTGAAGAGTCACAACCTGGTACATCGAACTCGGCACCACGGACTCCACAATATAAAATTGATCCACCTGGACGTCTTTTGCTAGACATCAAAAAGCACAAATTAATTTGGATAGAGAAAATAAAGGCGAAAAGCTATATGCCCAACAAAACTGCTTAGTTTGTACGGCACATAAAAAAAGAAAGTTGACTTGCTTCAAATGCGAGTTTTGCAATGCACCTCTTCACCGTGGCGAGTGTTATCAACATTATCACACTCATAAAAAAATACTAGATTAATCTCATAAATATGTACTTCAAAACATTTTTTGTAATTAGTGTTTAGTTCTTTTTTAATATTTCTTGTAGTTTTAAGAATTTAAATAAACCTTTTTAAGTCTAAATTTTTTATGATTACACAAAATATCACCTGCTCTAGGACGAAAAACGAGGGGGGCGGTTGGCACGTTACCCAGCATACTTTCGTCAAGATCCCCCGCCTTTAATGTGTTAAGAAGATATTAGTATTTATCACTAGTGTAAACTGTCTAAAAATTCTTCATTATTTTTAATGGCATCGAAAAATTCCCTGCAATTAAGTTTGCTGTTGATTTTGCAGCTTAGTAAAACATTTATTGTTCATTCAGCCAATATGCTTATTTCTTTAGACCATACGATATTCTCAATTTGCTTTGAACTAGTGCCAGTATGCCGGGCATGCTGGAAATGTATTCTGCCATTTGAACAAGATTGGCAAAGAAATGTTTTTCTTTGAAATGACTGAAAAGTTGCATCCATTTTTCTAATATCTTCACAATGCTACTGAAACAACAGTGGCTAAATCATATTGATAATAAAAGCTTCACATTTTGTTTCAAAGAGCTTTGAAAATAATTTAGATGAACCTAAAGCTGAGTTCGAGAACAGCAACATAGAACACATAAGCTGCTTCTATAGCTGTTAAGAATTTTTTGTCACTTAAATCAGTATATTTAAAATATAACAATATGTTTGAGAAAGTTCCTGCTGCTATTACTAGGCTTGCTGTATGTTTTGCACACTTCAAGTGATCTATAATATGTGGTTATGTGATTTCTAATGTCCACAAACAACTGAAAATTTTGTAAAGCACAGTTTAGCACTTTGTGAATATGATCAAAACAATTTTCAGAAACATGTAATCCTTTCTTAATTAATCAGTAAGTTGCTTTTTGGCAATTTGGAAATTAATTTAATGCACTGTACAAAATAATCAACAAATGCCGACTCGCAATTTGAACTCAACGAAGATAGTTGATTGTGCAACAAATACGTGGCCATTTTACGTTCCAGTGCTGCCAACTCTAATTGAAACAAAAATCTTAAAAATCATAGACTACATGCTATTGTAAATTTGGTGAACATGTAAAAATATCTTAATTTATTGAACCAAATGCTCTAGTTTTGGGGGGAAGGTCATACTTAGATCTATATAAAAAATCTAGATTGGCAACAGCCAGAATAATAGAGGGAATATTTTCATTGCCCAATCACTAAAACGAGGCTGTACTAATTTCTGTATATTCAACACTTTAAAAATTTAACTGGGACAAAATGACAAATTGGCTGTAATGCAGGGACCACATCATCAAACCTGAACAGTCCCATTAAAATGGAACATCTGGCAGCCCTAATAGTAAGCAATGTGTTTTCCATGTTTTCGCATATAAACAGGCGGAACTTTGGCTGTTTGATAATAATATCCAAATGATAACATTTAACCATAATCATGTTACGCAGCATCTACTGTATAAATTTCATGTGCTTATATTTTCAGTTTCTGTCATTATTGTCATATTTTATTTGAAAAGCTGATATTTTAAGGAAGCAGGTTTAGGATGTTTTTGTCAATCTACACATGTACCATATATTATTTTTCATATGCCATAGAAAATGTTTTGTATTATAGGACAAAGGAATAGCTACTTTTCTATTAACAGCCTGTCACTTAGTGTCAAATAGAACATTGGCATGAAATCTTATTAGATGGATGCAACCTTGATATGATAAGCTTTATGTAAAGAATGATTCTTTATTAAATTCAAAATAAGTACCAGAAATACAGACAAATATAAAACAGATTTTACCAAATTAATTGTAGACTACTCATAAGGCATGAAACTGTCAATTTCATTGACTATTGACAAAAACATTTTTCGTCTTTGCATGCCATTGCTGCCACATGAATTTAATATGGTAAGAATCTAGATGGTGGCAGCTAGTGCAATAATGTTATATTTGTGATTAACTTGCAAGTGTGCATATATAGAAGCTGCCAGTTCATATGATTAAGGAACTGAAAATCCAGAAGAAGAAATTTTTGAATTAAAGTTCATTTTTCCATATTATTCACATAGATGTCATTGTGTAGCTATTTGTGATGTAATACAGACAGATTACCATGTGGTTGCTTTAATTGCAGAATGTAGCATTTTGGTTTCTAGTGTGGCAGATATTTCTGAAATTTTGATTTGAACTGATTAAAAACTAATTTCTGTTAGTCTCTGCATTCATAATTTTTAGCATAGTTATAAATTATGGGTAAATTTTCCATTTTTAATTGTTTATCCAAGTAATTCAGTTGTAATCTTTGAGTTACTTTAAAAGCCATCTTAACATTAATGCAGAAGTAGTTTTTGAACTTGTAATTTAGAGTTATGCATTACTGCTGACATAACTTTCTGTGTTACGTGTTTGTTCACAGAAACTGAAGAAAATCTTGATGTCATTGGGGTAGTCGTGTTAGAAATGTAATCATTCTTCTGGTCTATGTAGTCAGTGTTTTAATCTGCTTATTCTTTAAACTGATGATCTATAATCCGGAATCACCGAAGTCCCGACGAGTCCGGATTAACGACTTTTGACTGTATATTGTTGCGTCCGTGCAGGTTCATAATAGATTGAATAATACATTAATAAAAATTTATTTTTGGTCAAAAAAATATTACAGAACTCTAGAATTTTCCTCAAAAATATTCATGCAAGTGTTCACAGTATCACACAGTATAATTAGTAGTTACACTTAAACTACTTAGAACGTTAAACACGGCGCAATGTAAAGTGTATCTAAAGAGAAAGCCAATTTGATCTAATGCTAACTCACAAAAATAACAATAGCAGCTAACCAAACAGCTGTGATGCTCTCGCTTCACCCTTAAATAGTTTTCAACTAGCCATGAGATATTTCTAGTACAGTACAAAGTCCGTTATCCGGACTCATCGGGACTTCGACGATTCTGGATTAGGGGTTTTTCCGGATTATAGATCATCAATTTAAATCTGGTGAGATGGCATGCAGAAATTATACAATTAAAAATATGAAACAGTAATTTATGAAACAAAGAACAATTGAAGGGTATCAAAATTTACAAAAAAAAAAAAAAAAAAAAAAAAAACTTAATATTTATTTGTTTACTTTAGTAAACATTTCTATTAATGTAAGTTGTTTAAGTTGCTTCATTTTTTCTGCTAATACTTTCTCTTTAATTCTATAAACAGACATAATTTATTGTTCAGTTACAAGTTCCACTGTTCAAGTCCTGTAATTGCTGTGTCGAGAATACCGTCTAACTTCTCAATAAAATTTTTTCGTTTTCAATAACATTCTCTGTTACTTTCTTCACTATCTGAAGCGCGCATGGGTAAATGCTTTACTGGGTTTACGCGCATGTGTAAGTTTGCAGCTTTGAGGTCCGGATTATAGATCATTCGGATAATGGACGTCTGGATTAGAGACTTTGTACTGTACTTTCTGCTTCTCGAAATTACTGGAAAGCAATATGAGGCTGAAGTTATGGTTACAGCTGACACAGTGGTCAATTACATTTATTCAGTTTCAGTGCAAATTACTGAGATACCCATTTACTTAAATGTTTAATGCACAGCCCCTGTATTCTTAATTTTCCGGCATAGCATTCTCCTAAAATTAGCCTTGCACTACATTACACAGAAAAATACAATTTTGCTTAAAATTCTACTAAAATTGCCTAAATACAAATTTCGTAACAATATACTTGCAAAAATATTTTTAATCCATATTTTGGAATCCAGAAATTTTAAAATGTCAGTATTGTAAAAATTGTGAAATCTTAATTTTTCGTTCTAATCTTAATTTATCTTTCTTTCGTCCCTGTAGTTATATTTAGTAAGATGTTGTAATTATTCTTAAAATAAAATACAGGGGTTCAAAATAAAATATCAAGAAGTTTGGAGTAAAATGAGAAAGACGTATATGAAGTTTGTAATATTTTTACAATACTAAAAAAATCAGACTTACTGCTGTCCTTAAGGAATCAGTTAAAAATCCACCCTCCTTCCATTTTAATGTCATTCAATGTTTTGCTGCATTCTTTAATTAATAATCTTGTTACATTTGGAATTCCAAACACATTATCTGCAAGTAATGTATAAATCTCCAAATGCTGTTAAAAAAATGAAACAAAGCAATACAAGATTGTCAGGTGGCTCGAGCTATATGTGTAGCGGATAAGTTGATACCGGTTCTATCTTGAAGCAATTGCACGTGTCAAATTCATGGACATAACATTTTATTGCGGAAATATAATTATGAGATACACTTTTTCATATATATAATATGAGCTGAGTCATATTTCAAATCCATTGTAATGCATTTTCATATGTGCTTGATATTATATTTTTATCAGTGCATGGCAAGGGGTGAGAAATGTAATCTTGCTGTGGACATCTGAGGAGTATTTTGAATCAAGGAGATGGAATTATTCAATTCTGTTTTCATAAAGCATGAAGATAATTTAGTCTCTGTAGTACAGTTAATGCATAAACTGTGTGATTTAAAAAAAGTAAAATTTATTCAGCATGCTTAACTTGTATAAATAAATTATATGTGTGACAGCTTCACATGAACATAAATAATACTGGCAGAAATGACTCAAGTTTAGGCTTTCTTTATAAACAGAATCATTATTAAATAAAATTGTTATGAGCAAAATCTCAGATAAAATAACAACTGTAGTTGAAGTATATTTCTACAGTGGTTAAAAAAAAAGTTTGAGCTGTGAATAAAAGTCTTAAAATCTGAATGTAACTTAATTAAAAATGACTGTGTGGGTGGTATCATATGGGCTAAATGAATTTTGAGTATAATTAATTAAAAGAACAAGTGCCAAAGTCCAAACAGGAAAAGAAAATAATAAACTTAAGGGCAGAAACACTAGGTGCGCAATCTGACGTAAATAAAATACAATGTGAGGATACTAATTTGCAAAAACTGATAATTTAAATACAGCAGGCAACAAAAACGTTTTTGTTGGTTTTTGGATCCTAAAGCTCTCTGCTCCACTAGAAACATTCAGCCAGTAAGTACACAAGAATCTGTGTGTAAAAAGTGAGAACTAAAGTATTGGGGGAGGGGGAATTCGTGTTACAAACTGAAATGCAAGATAATTTGGAATTTTATGGAATTAATTAGAAACAGGTGAAAAAGGCATAATTCATTAAATTTAGGGATGAAATATAGTTGTCTGATGTATGATTTAATGATTTGTAAAATAAAATAAAAACATTATGAACACAACATTTAGAATTCGAGCTTACACATAAGATTTTTGTGTGACTATTAATAATATTAACTATTAATCAAAGTGGCAATTTGTACTTTTTAAAGCAAAATGTATGTTAAGTTTGTAGCGAAAGTTTTTAAAAAAATCTTTGAAATTAAAACTACAAAAGATACAGATCATGAAGATTTCTAGTTTCGGTTTTTTATGTGCAGGATAAGCAGTCACTTAAATATGCTATAATTTTAGATTGTAGCATTCTTGAAAGCAAAATTTTTTATTATGAAAAGTGTACTTTGAGAAATTATGAGTACTTCCTGAGCTTTGAACACTTGCCAACACCGCAGAATTTCTACAGGTACTATCAACTCCGTGTTGGTCATTTTATTTGTAGAGTCTAGATTTTACTTACAGCTGCCTCCAAACCTGTCTTTAAATTTAAAAATCAAATTAAATAACTAAGGTGAAAAGAATATCAAAATAACAGATTTAAGACTCTTGGCATCAGAACACCACATTGTTCATTAAATCTTAAAACTTCCTTTAATAGTACCATATATTTATTGAACTTTTGGAAAGTAGTAGAAACAGCATAATTCAAGGATCAGCATTATTCCATGTAGCACCATTGCATATATATTGTGTTAAGCAGTTAAGAAAAGCCTAGCATCGCAAAAGCTTTGTATAATGCTAGAGCAATTGTGTGTTTCACCAACTACCAGACTGCATTTAAATTCATTTAGATTTCTCATTTTGGCCTTCCTAGTAGGCAAATGAACTGGAACTGCTATTTCTCTTCAGTTATCAGCTCGCTGTGAAACATATATCCCTTGACTCTGCTGCAAAGAAGAACAGCTATGTAGTTGAATGATGTAGAATCTTTGATTCTATCTGTTAACTTTTCTGTGAGGATTGTACCTGTAAAATGTGTACTTAGACTGCCTTAAAATTGATCAGCGCACCTGTTTGCTCTTTCATTTCTAAGTATGGTATTATCTGAGAATTACCTTTTTCTTATTAGTAATAAAGTACATATTTATGTTGACAGTACATGTGTGTGTAAACTAAATTTTTTGTTGTATGTTAAAACTTTGCTGTATACAGTCATTTTTTGCATTGCAATATATTCATTAATTTTTAAACATGTATGAAAATATGCTTTCCTCCCCATTTTCTTATTGTATAGTTCATAGTTTTTCCATAATGACTAAAATTAGTTTCCTGTATTTTTATATGACTTAATTCATTTTTAAAATAAAAATGTGCGTGTTTTTATTGAGTTTCAGAATAATAAATGCCATTAGTTTGTAATGAAATTATTAAGCATACCCTGCTACTGAACCTTAGTCCAGCAATTGTTTCATATTAGTGACTCTGTCATTGCTGCTCAACCTTAATCTAATAGCAGTGTTAGGGCGTCCGTTTTTCTTCATCCTTTTCTGCTTTTCTCATTTTTCTTGTGTTTTAGCTGCCTATATCTTGGTTTATGTATAACAGTTTTTCTAGATGTGAACGCTAAAATCAGTATTCTAACAAAAAATGTTGGAGCTTAGTTTGTACCAACATTTGGCCATGCACAGACTCGTTATGTTGTAAACTCAATATTAAAAAAAAAAACTATTTGTATATACATTACACTTTATGCATCTGTTTCAACACCCTCTGTCCATGAAAACTTCCATTAAATATTATCCCTTCCCAAAAGATCTCTCTTTCTGCAGTTTATTTTCAAGCAACCTGTACTCTGTTGTACTCTTCCCCCCCCCTTTAATTAAAAAAAAAATCTTGTGGAGTTTTGCACCAGTCTTTTTTATCAGAATTACTGGTTTCTTTAAAATACACTAAAATAGAAATTGAAAACTTTCAAAATAATTTAGATCATTCGTATTTATACTTACATTAGAAATTGCAGTCTTTGGGAGGTGAAATTCTCCTTTATCTGCTCATAGTGTAAAGTTTAAAAGAAATTTTACTCATAATTTATGCTAATAATAATTAATATATTCAGCCCCTCCCCAATTCCTTTTTTGGGGATGATAGATATTATGCTTCAGTTAAATGTTTATATGAAAGTTACATTTTTTGTTTCTCAATTAATCAGATTTATAAAGGTTCTGGAATGTTTTCTAATTTTTCATATATTATTAAATTAACTGATTCAACACTTTCTGTAAATATTATCCTTTTGTATTATGTATTTAAACATTTCTTAGTTTGCAAGTTGTAGGGGACATTTTAAATATTTTATTAGCCTAGTATTTAACCATCATGCATTCTAAATGAATTCGTGAAGGCTGAAGTTTCATAATTTTATTGGGTTTTAGTATTTTCCATTTTATTAATAAAATGCTATTCACTTCTTTTGATATTTCTCTGTGTCAGGATGTTCCAGTAATTTTCATCTGTGCAAAATTATGTTTGTTGTGGTAGTGGAATAAAAACCCAGCCCTGCATCGGTCAAAATCTTTTGTTTGTTTGTTTATTATTATTATTATTTTTTTTTTTTTTTTTTTTTTTTGGTTATGCAATTTCAGTATTCTTTCCCTCATCAGGATAAGTGGATGAGTAATTTAAATACTGATGTTATGTTCATGAGTCTTCCACCTAAGTTTTTGAACTCAGGATTAATTGCTGCATGCTGTCTTGGAAATAGCGCTCAGGTAATTGAATTTTTAGTGTGCTATTAATGAATTTCTAACACGCCTTCTGAAATTAGGTCATATTTTTCATCAGAGAATGTCCTATGATTTCTTTTTCTTTTTCCCCCTTAATCTTAGATGTATATATACAGAAAACAAATTCTGCTGTAATTTACTACTTTGCATTTAGTTATAGAAATTTTGGTTGCAAATTTGGTTATAGAAATATTTTTATTAGAAAAAATGACATCTAAGTCAAAAGCATTTTACATAAGCTTATTTAACCAAATTAGCTGGTTGCAATTATTGGGCTTCCTAGCATAGTTTTACCTCATGATACATATTGTATTTTGATGCAGAGCAGCAAAAGTAATAAAAAATATTGCTGTAAAGTCTGTGTTAGCAAGTAAGGTACAAAATGGTTCTGTTTAGCTTATAACATTCAATTGGGCAATCTGCTATGCTAAATGAATATGCATTAGTGAATTAGGTCATATTAGACCTGAGTTTTGCATGTAGATTTCTGCAGTTGCTGTTGTAGCCTGAGCTATTAATATAAGACTTTTTAACTGTTCAAGACCAGTAGGTCTTAAGATCGTTTGATTGAAGGACATTTAAAATGGATTGATTTACTTTAATACATCTATGCCAGAATAAAATTTGAGAGTATGGCTTTTTGCATAAGGTCAAAATGGTTCAGCAAGGTAGTTAATATAAAATCAATGTATCTCTTTATATAATTTCTTTCAGCCTGATTTTAAAAATTGAACAAAATACACTGGTCATCTTCTGACACCATATATATGCTCAAGAGGCCAGGTATTGTCATCCATTAACAAAAAACCTGGGCCAACAGCCCTAAACACACTAACTTGGGATTCCAATAACTCATCCTCATATATATTAATGGTTACAGAACCTTCTTAAAAAATATGCAGCCATTTGTCATGATTCTTCCTTCACAATCATTAATCCATGATCATGGAAACTGTATGTTTCAGGGACAAGGGAAGGCAAATTGCATGTTCTTTCCACTCTCGAGATCAAGACACATCTAGAATCACTGTTCAGACTCTATCTAGACTCGTTAGTATACTTGGGCGCACTTGTCTTGACTCCATTGAACATGACGATGACGCCAGTGACCCTTGGAAGCTGGAGCGAATGGGACACTAACCATTGGTTTTCTCAACATACTGTCCAATCTTGTTAAGCCTTTGTGCAGCTGTAGAATGGCTAATTCAAGCTCCTGTGGCAGCCTGAAGATCTAAAACCAAATCTCATGATGATGGATCTATTATGCATATTAGATATAACAGAATTAAATTAAAATGATGCATGTGCTGATTGCTTCTCCTTAATTCTTATTTGAATAATACAAGCAGATTAGTTTTCATTTAATTAGACAACACTCGAGATGATGAAACATAAAAAAACTTGAAGAATGAGTCAGTGTTCTCACATGTGTGTGCTCTAAATTTTTTCTGTAGGAGTTTCGATTTAATTTCATTTTGTAAATGTTGACCTTCTCAATTTTTTATCACTGTCAGACTTATAAATGGTAAATTTCTACATCAAGAAACTATTGTTTCAATTATTAGAATTTTGAAGCCTACCATTGGTATATTGGTTTTTTGTAGTAATGAACGTTTTATACAGGATGTTTTTTTAGCTGACACTATTAAGAGCCATCTGTAGCTAGATCTATCAACTGGAATGCTACCGAATGTGGTAGGATGACTAACGGCGACATGGAAATAAGAGTCGTTAGGGGAAAGAATTAGTTCCGGAAGTTGCCGCTATGAAAAAAATGTGGCGTTCTTCTAGGTTATACAACTCAAAATTTGCATGAAATACCGGTAAAATTTGGAAATGCAAGTCCTTGGTAGGGCAAACAACAGCAGTGTCAGTAATTCAGACTATAAAGATAAGGAGAAAACACCAAAGGGCATTCCGAATATTAGCTGAGTTCAACATGTGTCTCGCTTTTCTTCAGCATGCATTACTTATGAAGTTGTATTATCATATTCAGTTGAACACAAGCAACTGCTCTTGAGTTTGGAAATCATAACAACCTACATAAAGTCCGCCTAAGAATGCATTAAAAGGCACAATTCAGAAGTTTGAAGAAACAGGATCCATAAAATACATATCACATTCTGTGCTGAGCATTCTTAATGACATGTTGCATTCAGCTGTGTGGGATGTTGTGTACTGAATGCAATGTATAATCCATGAGAAGGGTGGTCATATTATAAGATGTCTATGCCTTTACCAAGGAGTGCTTTTATTAAATAAAGTGCTATGGTGCACTGAAATATCTCTGTAAACCTTTTGGGGGTGGCTCATTTGCTGCAGTAAAGAGGTTTGCATTGGTATTTCTGAATTAATAATTTGTCTAGTTTTCAGTTATATAGCACCAAGTTTTCCCCCATCGACAACTTTCAGAACTATCTTTTTTCACAGAACCTTTTTTTCCATTAGTCTCCTTACTAAATTTGGCAGCATTCCAGCTGATAGGTGGAACTACAGATATCAGTTTAAAAAGGAAAAGCACCCTCTGTATCTTCAGTCAGGCATGAAAAAATGTTGAAAGAGTAACACTTTTTTAACTCTACTAAGCAATTTCTGCACCCATAATGCTATTTTATATGTGTGTGTATATATATATATAATTTAGTAAATATTTTTCTGTGTGTAGTATAAAAGATTGCAATGAAAGAAGATAAACATTTATACAGGTAATATTATACCTTGTATTCAGATAATTACAGATAACTAGTGTCAGTGTTTCAGCAAGCATGCATACCTGTAGTGGAATGCAGACCATTTCTTTAACTTCAGTATTTAGAAAAATGCCAACTCTTCTTATTTTTTTTACTGTACTTTTGCCAACTCGATTTACAGCACATTTCTCCTGACTTCCCTTGTTCCTGAAATTTCGCATCATTTTAATATAGGTCCGCTTAATATTTTTTTTTCACCCACAAACACAATTTCTGACATTTGAAACTGATAAGTCTCCTCCCCCGAATTATGTGTAAGAGAAAGAAAGGCAATTTCTTCAATGACCATATGGTGACCCAGTGGCACAGATATGTCTGAAAATGTTGTCTTACAGTTCCATGAGCATGAAGCTTTGCTGCTGGTCATCTGACATATATTAGCTAAGGAGCATAAAGTATAGCAAGACTACTTTTTTTTTTTTGTGTGTGCTCTCCGATCGTTAAAAGTTAGGTGTTTCTCACACATTAAGATGAATTTGCAATCTTTTCTGCAGAAAATACTTAATATACTGTTCAAAAACTGTATGCAGATGACTTTCTTGCATCATTTCACCAAGGAAATTTACTCTGTTTTGTGTACCAACCGTAATTGTGATTTTTAATTTTGTGCAGTGGAGGAGATAATGTTTTTAGATATAAAAATGTGGTTGACTTTTTTAGCATAGAAACACAGACATTCCAAATGCTGTGAACAGTATATACAATGCTTGCATAAATTTAAATTTAAAGTGAAATTTGTAACCATTTGTAGCAGTTGTATAAATGTTGAGAAAAATATTTTACTTTATTTTACTTTACAGATAAACTTTTTTTTTACATGTAGGTATTCTACTGTTTGAATTTAAAAAATTAATGACTGCTCCTTCATTTATGGATTTGATGCCTTAAAAAAGTGATTTCGTTACTCTGAATTTTTGAGGTTGAGAGGGTATCATCTTTGTTTTTGATATGAAACTATCATAATTGAGCTTAGGTGTTGAATCCATATACACTCAGTTCAACAGTGTTGTAGTACCTGTGTATGTCTTAGAAAAAGCTTGTTTGTAATGATCAGGTAAATGAAGTTAATTCCAAATGAAACTGAAATTATAATAAAGGTTTAACATGATACTAAAGGAAAGTTATTGTAATATTGTACCTTGTATTCAAGATAATTATAGGTAACTATTGTGAGTTTTTATAGGCAAATTAACATAGGAAATTAGGAAATAGAGAGTTTTGTTAATTGTTCCCCATCTTTTTACTACTAGCTGACCATTGTTCAAATGTACAGTTTAGTTTAATTGCCCACGTTTATATGCTAAAGAAAAAAAGGTCGATATGCTACAGCAAATGCTATTTTGTTTCATGCAACAATCAGCTGCAGAAATGTTTTTGAAGATAGTGAATGCAGTCAGTCATATTAAAGCCTGTGCCTTTTATATGTTTGTAGAGTTCTTATATAAGTGCATATTTATATTAATGCTCAGAATGATGATTATTTTTTACTGTTTTCTAATTTTTAGACTAGGCTTTCAAAGTCATCATCTCAAGAATCTCTTACCCGAGAAGAAAAAGAGAAAACGGAATGTGAAAATTATTCCAGTGAATTTGCCATCTGTAGTGACAAAGTACCTAATGGTACAGCAACAGAGTCTCATTTTGCTGTGCATGATGATTCCCATTTTATAAAAAATCAGTTTAAACATCTAGATATATCAAATGATAAACATCAGTTTAATGTGAATAAATCTGAAATCAAAGATAGATCACCTGAGAGGGATGAAACACATGATCATAAATATTTAGCTGCTGATTTCAATATCTTAAGAGTGCAGCGGGAAGAAATATCAGACTCCGAAAGTTTAGCAAGTAATGATACTGCAGATACTTTAGATGATAATCAGATTGAATGTTTATTGTTAGACAAGGTTTTGCCTCAAGATGTGGAAGAGGGTAATCCAGAAAACTCTTTTAATAATTACAAGTCCAATGAGAAATTTCTTGTTTAGTTACATTCAAAATATCAGTTTCTAGTAAATGTTCGAATTAGGTCTATCTATCCTTCAGTGCAGTCACAGAGATCAAGTAATTTTTAGAACATATTGTATGTATGTAAATAAACAAATTTCACTTTAGCTTTAAAAAGAGTGATAACGGGGAAATCAGTGTCCTTTTTTAAATGAAGTTGTACTAGTCATTTGCTCGTAACTTAATCACTCATTTGTTCATATCATAGACATATGAAGTTATTTTGTAGCGCCGTAATTTTTTACTGCATATTTTCAAATTTAATATATGATTTTGCATTTCTGTTTAAGATGCGAGGGTATGACCTGTATGACTGTTTTTGTTTAATTGAAGGAAAGATTTAATTGAATCAAAATGTTCTGGGATTTAGCTGTGTATTATGTATATTTGTTGCAATAATTTTAAAGCATCTTTTAAATCTTTGTTAATTCTGTATAAATTTAAGAACTGTTATTAAAAGGTTTTATTTTAATTCAAGCATTTTGTATGTTTCATTTGCAGTTTTCTCTTGAGAAACATAATTAATGATTAATCGATCTAAATCCCGAATTTAAATTATTTAGTTTCAGCAACATACATAAGAGTGTTCTATTCTCTGCATGTCACCTCATTAAATTTTTCTTAATAAGAGGGTTGATAAAATTACATTTTTAAATTTTGTCTTTAACTTTTCAGCACTTCTTTCTTTCCCCTTCTTCCTTCTTTTTGATTAATCAATGAATGTTCTGTTTAAGTTATATTTTATTTTTTAATAGTTTTAGTATATTGAAAGATTCTTGCATTTAATTTTGATGATTGGGGGATACCTATTTGAATGCATGGCAATTTCATATAATGCTTTTTGACAATTGTTAGTTACATTGTTTTAAATTTTTCTTAATAAGAGGGTTGATAAAATTACATTTTTAAATTTTGTCTTTAACTTTTCAGCACTTCTTTCTTTCCCCTTCTTCCTTCTTTTTGATTAATCAATGAATGTTCTGTGTAAGTTATATTTTATTTTTTAATAGTTTTATTATATTGAAAGATTCTTGCATTTAATTCTTATGATTGGGGGATACCTATTTGAATGCATGGCAATTTCATATAATGCCTTTTGACAGTTGTTAGTTACATTGTTTATTCATAAACTTAATGCTGTTTAACATGGCTTGAGTTGAGGTACTGTGTCATTAAAGCTATTAGAACATCTGCTGTTCTAGATTTCTCACGTAAACATATTTGATGATGCAAGTATATCAATGTAAAATCTAGCATATTTATTTCATGTCTGATCTTAATACCTTAAATTGTGAGCTAGTTCTTCAAAGGTAAATGAAATTTGAAATTTCCTGCTATTTCTGTCCGGTGATGACATTCCCAGGTACCTGATATCTGTAAAGTCCTCCCCCCCCCTAGGAGGGAATCAGTTTTCTCAATTATGTACAAAGATTTTACAAAATATCTGTATTTATATTCTACTACAGTGTTCTATTAGAAACAAAAGTAAAATGCCTAATCTCAATTCAGTTTAACATTTGGATCAATGAAAGTCACAGGTTTTGCTGAACAGAATAATTCAACTTTCATTCACTCTGGCCTGAAACTCCAGCTTATGTTCCTGAACAATAATTTCTGTGTTGCTAGAATTAATTTGGTAAATTAAGAAATTGAAGGGAGCTAATTTCTTTGTTGACCTTGATTCATTCATACATTTTAAAGTGTTTCTATACTCTGAAAAGGAAATGGCTTAATTTTAAATTATTTGCGAGTGGATAGGATATATGCCCTATGAAACCCATTAGGTTATACAAGGTTATTTAAAATGATTGGACCAATTTTTTCATTATTTTGTTTTTTAAATTTATAAAATGGTAGCACATGTGCATAGTTTCTTTTAATGGTATGAGCAATATCAAGACATTAGACAGGGTTGCCATGCTACCTGGAAAACCGGAAAAAGTCGGGGAATTCGAAAATTGACCAAAAAAGTCAGGGAATTTAAATATCTTAGTCAAAATCTGGAAAAGTCCGGGAATGTCATACGGCGATCCCCCCAAAAGCGAGTTTTGTGCCAATGTTGGAAGCGATGACTTTGTTGGGGAATGATGAGCGTCGTTTGGGCAGCTGGCATAGAGCCAATTTTCGCAGCTCCAATCACATTGTCTTTTAGGAAAGGAAAGCAAGTTTCCGGCAAGTTTGGTTTCCAGTAACCACAAGAATCCTAAGACTCGCATGTGCAGGTTATGTTGAACTAAAAAAAATACCTACCCATTCTCATATACAACAAAATCGGTTTAATCCCAATATAAGGTACAATGGAGGCTAGAATAGCCCCCCATGTACTCTGTTCTAATGTAAGAATGTCTATCTAAAGAAAGAAAGGTTCCATAGATGTAATGTAAATCAGTTTGCTATAGTGCCGCTAGAACGCGGAGGGAAAAACTCGCCAAGGGATTTGGCGACGGAACCTGATGGATGAGAATTTCCCCCTTCGCAATATGTACAGGAAATTGTAGAGCATATGTTAAGAAGAAACGTTCTTTGACATTCGCGATAATTTATACTCGGATTTACGTACTTTTTTTGCTCAAAATAGCTAATCTATTAATTAATTTACTTGTGCAAAAAAACATTTTCTTTTCCTTAAATGTTTAAGCAAATTTAAAACGATATTCGTTTTATGTAATAAAGTTGACCTTCGAACATTGCGAGCTTCGCAGACAGATATTTCGTGCATACGCAGCTGTTTCCCTGGGACGGAGCCATTCCTGTTGCAGAGAAGTTTTTTTATCTTAACAATACATATTTTTTTATTCTAACCTCCATGTTCGGTACACATGGCGACACTATGATGAGCGGTAACAACAGTTACTGCTTTCTGTCTCTTAGTCTTTGTTTAAGAAGGTGTTGGGTAATAAACCGGTCATTTTGGTGTTGGTGGCAGTTTTCAAAATTGTACAAAGGCCGTAGCGAAAACTGGGATTTTACCACAAAATCTTTTAAACATTTTTTTTTTTTTTTTTTCCCATTTGCAGTAAATTAAAAAAATAGTAATCAGTCATCTAGGCTAACGTTTAATATTCGCCAAAATAGCATTGATTATTATAATTCAATTTTTAAGTAATTAACTTCATTTTAATGTTATTTATATCATTTAATGTTCTTTCCTCTAAATTTATTTATTATTAGTTAATAATACTTTCAAATTTCAGGCAAATTTCGCTGGCATAATTCTGAAACTAAATCTAGCAGTATGATGACATAGTATCGTAAAATTGAATGCACATATTTTTGTTTGTGTATGCTGCTAAATAAATATAAAATACCTGAATTTATTTTAAAATATCATTAAATAGATTTCTTTCTTTCATTTAGCTGCAAAATGTCTGCAATTTTTTTTAAATCCAGATTGGGCAGATTCTAATCTCAATCTTCATTAGAGAAAACAACTAAACAACTCCTGTTATAGCTATAATAGTAATGCTTTCAGGATTATATATATAATAAGTCATATGCAATTGGCAAATTTTTGTGGTACCATAATTCATTTTCAAGTGGTACCGTAATTAATTTACCTCTCAGCGCAGCCAACACGCACTATGTGGATAGACTGGAATTTTCTCAAAACAAAGCTGGAAAAGTCAGGAAATTTCATTCTCCTGTTTAAGTGGCAACCCTGATTAGAGTTCCTGCCATACTTGCCTCAACAATAACAATGCAGTTACTGCATTCACATGTAATTTGAGGGCAAAGATGGCAGGAAAATATCTGTAATGGAAAGAAATATAAACTGACCATATATTTATATGACATAATTTTTCAAAATCAAACTGAAACTTTAAAAACAATCAAAAATCCAGTGATGAGGTTTCAGTTTAGCAGTGGTTAAACTTTACTGGTTTTCAGGTTAGTTTTACATCAGTTTTGTGCAATGTAAGTACACTGGCTTTTGGCATTGCAAGCATAAATATTACTTTATTTGTTGTTTCTGTTGACACTGTAGACACATTTTACATTTTTATAATTTTAATGAAGATTATTTTTACTTAACATAAATGTGGCAACTTAGAGACTACTTTTGATTTTATGTTATGAACAATTTCTCAGAAAAATGACAACACTCACCAGAAGTTGATATTATATTTTGCTTTAATAGACATGCCAATTAGTGGATTAATTAGCAAATTGGAAAACTCTTATGTGTGTGTAAGTTTGTTTAATCTGGAAAATGCGATATTACAATGTGTGTTTAGCATCACGCAATCATATGAAACAGATTTAGATAGCATAGGTCTGCTTGAAAATGATGATGAGAATTAACTCCTTTGTGTGTAATTCTGTAGAATTTTTTTTAATATTATCTTACTGCTATATATGGGAGGATACAAGGAATTTAAGGGGGGGGTGGGAATGCTTAATTTCGAAAATTCAATAAAAAGTGTGTCTGCTTCATATATGCCTCAACATGCAGAGGTTTAAATCCTTCAACCATCAATTTGACTTCAACCATCTTCTGGAATAGTCAACACATGATCAATGGCAATAAAATTTGGTATGTTATATAGTCAGACTGTAAAGATGGGAAAGATAGATTAGAAAAACAACTGTTTGTAATGTTATAAATTTTAATAAAATACTAAAATCTCTACATTTGCCATGATAGCTATGCTGCTGGATTTACACGATTAGGATTAACTATATTTCAACATGCTACTGAATGTTCGAATACTCTCAGAGTGGAAAGAAATTGTTATGAGCCCAAAAAAGGACTTCTTCATGGTGTCTGTCAAAATTTACTTATGGAATGAGAGGACTCACCATTATTTGTTTGTGTGTTAAAATTATATAGATGCATCAAATACAGTTTATTATTGATTTGTATATTTTTGGGAAATAGACCTGAACCCTGCTAAACTATGATACAGTCCGCCAACTCCTGAAATCCGTTTTGCCTCTCAAAATATAAACATTGAGTTTATAGGTTCCAGAAACCACAACATGGAGTACGAAATATCGAAAAAAATACTTACCGAATAATGTCATCATAATTACCGAATAATAATGAATCATAACAGAAATAGCAAATTATTGACATTATGATAAAAGTGTTTTCCCCTGCAATCTGCATCAAGGTAAAAAAGCAGATGATTCACTCAACTCGTCTTTCAAGTTCGCGATTCATGTTGTTGTATTTTCTGAACTTTGTTATTTCACAAGATTGTTTAGTGCTGACGTTTTTTTTTATCCGGATATTTTGTGGATAAATTTTAAATTTCAGCACTTTTTAATAAAATAACAGATAAGAAACACACTCATGATTTTACTGCTTGCAATGTTGAAAAACGTATACACGTTGTATTGACAGTAATGCAAAAAGTGGAAATTCTGCAAAATATGGAGGCAGGAGCTACTCCTTGCTTTATAGCAGAATCATATGGAGTAGCGACACGGACTGTGTATGATATACGGAAAAATAAAGAAAAACTGTTGAAATT